TCTATGTGGCATGCTTTGTACATTTTCAAACAATTCATCTCATCTGTCAGGGCGAATCTGTTACGCAAAGCGAAGCAAGCGTTTTATCTCGCATCAGATTCAGGAAAACGGCCAAGAAAAAAATCTCCATTATTTCGTGTGTGTGTCCAAGGAATTTTGACATCGGATACTTCACAGTCTGTTGCCTCACTCGTTCCTCAAGAAATAATGGAACGGGCATATATTTCTCTTTTGCTTTTTTTCACAAAAAAACTTTAGAAACCCGTAGTAGAAAGCGTAGCATATTTCTTAAGAACTGCGTACTGGCTCATCTTTGCGCTTCGCGCTGCAGCTGCAACAATCTGTGTGGCATGCTTTGTACATTTTCAAACAATTCATCTCATCTGTCAAAGCGAATCTTTTACGCAAAGCGAATCAAGCGTTTTATCTCGCATCAGCTTCAGGAAAACGGCCAAGAAAAAAATCTCCATTATTTCGTGTGTGTGTCCAAGGAAAAGCAACCTAAACCCTGTGATCTTCAAAAATTTCACGATTCGAACATTGTTTAATGAAAACAAGTGGCAGCATTGCTTTTTCGAGTATACAGTTGCTAATTTGTCATCAACTCTGTTTGTTTTGTTTCCTAATTAATTGAGGAAATTTTAATTGACAGCACCGGCAAATGAATATATACACAAACCAATTTTCGGTAATGGTTAAAACAATTCAAGTTTTTGTATTTAATTTTTTGTTTAAATTTTGTTTTTTCCTTTTCGGTAGGGTTCTTTGAACATTATCTTCTCCGTGAGAATTGATCGTGATAGAAACGGATTTGAATAAGCGACTGGAACACGGCTGTCTGTCAAAAGGATTCATAGCCCGAACACAATGAAAACGACGAGCTACGGACCACAGCTGTCAAATTTTTTTAACACGTACTCTTACCTATTTCTATTTTTCCAGCGACAGATAAGGTTCCTCCTCTTCTTTTATGTCAAACTCATACAAATTCATGATGTCGCTGCCGCGTTCAAAAAAATCATGTCGTCATCGACAAAGCGTTTAGATAATGAAGATAACAAATTGGAAGCTTTGGCCCATAGCCGTCGTTTTCAATGTGTTCAGAACTTATGCCTCATCACGTATCTCGAAACGAGCGTTCGTTTCGTCTGCCACACGAATCGTTCGTCACTTGGTACTTTGTAATTCGTCTAGCAACACAACTGTTGATAGTTACGTTGCTTTCGTTTAGTTTGCAATTTTCTAACACGAAAAGTAGACGAAAGGTTGTAATTGATCGTGGGGATGGATCGTTCAGCCAAAAAATGTTAATACAGTGAAAAATTTATAAATTTCAAACAAAATAACTGTAATCAACATAACAAATAATAATAACTTATGTTTTCACCATTTAAAAACCCCACAACAACATTTGAGGTGCTGATTCAAGAGACGGACCAAAATCCGGATCTGCCAAGAGCAGTACCAGTGTATGGGATGAGATAATGGAAGACACTTGGTAGCAAAAATCCTGGACATTCTAGTAACATAACTAAAAATACGATTTGTTTATTTTTCTTCAGATATGGGCTCACCTCAAAAGCCGTACAAAAAAGAAGATTGCGAGCTATTTTCGTAATATAAATACAACAGGTGGGGGTACCTTTCGGCATTCACCACTGATCGCATCATTTGTATGTCGAAGGCCGCAACACCAAGTGGCCCAGCGCTTGGAATTTCAAGGCCTTCTGCATCACAGGCAGCAGCGTCCTCTGATAATTTGTCAGCGACTGACATGCCAGCACTATTCGTTGTGCGTACATCAACGGTAAGCAATTCAAGAGGCTCCCCTTATTCGGTATCATCCCTAAGTTCGTTGACGCACTACTCGCCACTCCATAGCCACTAATTTCACCAGTAACTACAGAAAAAATCTCTCAAATGAATGGCAAAAATAGTAAACAACATTTGACGGTGATGCCCATTTTCTGTAAAGTGTACCAAATAAATTAAAAATAATAAAATTCTGAAGGAAATATATAAAAATACCTTAATAATTCATTTAGCAACGCTGTTCTAGACGAATACAACGTAATCGACGTAGAGTCTACAAGAAGGCGATCGTTCGACTTACAATATTGTAAGGGGATACGAATTCGCCTGCAGACAAATCGTTTGTGTCCCCTATCGTTCGGATAAATTGGCAGTGGCGGTGACAGTTTTTAAAATAAGCTGTTACTGTTAATATTGGCAGTCACTGCCGCAGCAAACACAATAAGGCGTCGTAAGTGACTGCTTTTTTTTGACATTTCCTTTTGTTTGTTTACATTTTTGTTGTTGCTTTTAGACTTTACTGACATAAACACAAGTTGGCTGCGTTTCATTTATGTTAGATTCAACATGCGAAGTTTGCTGCGATGAAGGCAGTGGCAGTGAATTTAGAATTTGGGCTAAACTGAGCAGTACTGCTAGCTGCAACTGCTGTATTGTGAGTCGCTTCATTGGATACCACACTCTCTAAAAAACAGCTGATTTCGAAAAACTGCCGCTGCCACTGCCACTGGGCTTTACACCGGACAATAATGTCATGACAATAGCAATACATGCACACTTTTGCACTAATACGTGTATACTTCTTCAATTGTCTCAATCACTGTCTTGATTATTTTCAAGACAGTAAATCGGACAATGATTTGACGTATGCAGACAATAATTCTGACGTCTTGTGCAAGAAAGAAGAGAAATTCATAATAAAAGAACTAAAATAACACAAGAGACGCTGATGTGTATGTAATGGGCTGTTTTTGCTTACGCGTAGAAGCACATTTAGCTCTAAATGCCCCTCTAAATGTACATTTATCCATACAAAATTCGTCACCTAAATGCAACTCCATTTATGCATTAAGAATCTAAATGCTAAAAGCAACCCTGTGATCTTCCAAAATTTCCACGATTCGAACATGGTTTAATGAGAAAAAGTGGCAACATTGCTTTTTCGAGTATACTGTCGCTAGCTGCGTTTCAGTGGTCTCCGATCGAGATTTCATTTATTATTTTACATTATTTGGATAAAGAAAATTTACGCAAATTCAACATCGATATGATGCTGATAGAAATCTGGATTAATTTGTGATCAACTCTGTTTGTTTTGTTTCCTAATTAAGTGTGGAAATTATAATTGACAGCACCGACAAATGAATATATACACATACAAATGTTCGGTTATGGTTAAAACAATTCAAGTTTTTGTATTGAATTTTCGGTTTAGAATTTATTTTTTCCTTTTCAGTAGGGATTTGCACATTATCTTTTCCGTGAGAATTTATCGTAATAGATACAGATCTGAATAAGCGACTGGAACACGGCTGTTTGTCAAAAGCATACGATTTCGAACTCGCGTAAATGTACATTTGCTAATTGCGGTAGCATGAACGCTCTTCGAAAACATATGTTCGAAAGTGCTAAATGTTGCATTTTAAATGTAGCAAAAACGCTGCATTACATTGTCTCCTCTCTATATTTTTTTTAGTTTTTAGCTTATATGGGAAAATTTTAGTAGACGGACGGCAAATTCTAGAAAAAGGGGGGATGAGGGGGGGTGGAATAGGACCCCCTTATTTCAAAACTACCCCCCTTTTTTCTAGCAACCCTATAGTTCTTATATAATTTATTGTTAAAGTTTTCATATAAACGATGAATAAGATAGCAAAATAACATACAACTTAGTGCTACCAGACTGGAATTTTGAATAATAAAAGCGGATTTTTAATTCGGAATTTTTACTTAGTAGAATTATTATTTCTGTGTTGCCGAAGAAGGGGGGGCTGAACACATTTTGCAGAGAACACTTTTTTGCGTAGGCGGCCTTCGGCCGCACTTAGGGATTATAACCTTCAGGCAGTAGAATTCTCCCTTCTGTTTTGCGAAGAAAAGGAGCTGAACACCTTTTGCAGAGAACACCTTTCTGCGTAGGCGGCCTTCGGCCGCACTTAGGGATTATAACCCTCAGGCAGTAGAATTCTCCTTTCTGTTTTGCAAGAAAAGGACGCTTTGGAGAACACCTTTCTGCGTACGCGCCGACTAGGTACCAGCAGAGATCTCCTTTCTGTTTGAAAAGAGCTGAACTATTGGCGGCCTTCGGCCGCACTTAGGGATTATAACCCTCAGGCAGTAGAATTCTCCTTTCTGTTTTGCGAAGAAAAGGAGCTGAACACCTTTTGCAGAGAACACCTTTCTGCGTAGGCGGCCTTCGGCCGCACTTAGGGATTATAACCCTCAGGTAATAGAATTCTCCTTTCTGTTTTGCGAAGAAAAGGAGCTGAACATTTTCTTTTGTATTGATTTCCCCTGTATTCCTTTTTAATCATTGCCTTCTTTGTATGTATTGTTTTGTACAATATGGCAACACATGTTATGTGTCAGTTTGCAACCATGTGTTATTGTAAATATGCGTGAAATTCAATGTAATTTACAAGTCGATAAAAGTTTAATTAAAGTGATTTATATACAAGATAAAATAAAAGAAAAGTGTGTAAAGTATTAAGTACAGTGTTATGTGCATTTATACACAAATGCTTTTTTGTTAGGAAACCAAGTGGAACGACTTAAGAAATTTTAACAACAAATAACTTATAAACAATGATATTATTTATATTTTTTAGTTATACATGTTTTAGAGGATACCTCCCTTAACATCCTGACCAAGTTTCATTTGTTAATTCCACCTGGTTTTCTTAAAACACAAGGTGCGGCTGACTACTAAAGCCCACCCGCTTATATAGCTCGCGCGAAATACGTATTATAATACAACGGTCACGTCCGACATTTTGCTCAAAATGAACTGTCATAACTATTGTCAGGACGCCTACGCCACGGAGACTTTTATCAGTATTTGACAACTAATAAGTATTTCTTTTTTGTCTTGACAGCATTGTCTAATGTAAACGCGCCGTAAGATAACAAGATTATTAAGTGAGTAACGACTCGGTACTTCAAGTCAGGGGTTGTACCTGCTACTAAGTAACGAATACATACGGTTTGCTACAGCTCTAGGTAAGACAGAAAGTGTGTGGCAAATGCTTAAATTTGGAATTATCGAAATTTGTGGTGAACAATTCATTTGCCGAAATTGAGTAGCGAATTATTTTCGATACTACATTGGGCTATTACAAAGTTTTGCGTTGGTACTCACGAACAACTTCGATTATTGAGAAAAATTTGTTTTAAGAGAGACACTAATTATGTCTTATCCATCTCGTGCACCTATACCACCATACATGAACCCAAATATACCTCCTCCTCATGTAAGTTATCGGAAATATATCTAGTTTTAGTGTTAAAATTATATTTTCTGAGTAGATGATGCCGCCAGTACCTTCAGCACCAAGAAGTTATAGAACCTCCGCCACTATCAGCTCTCAACCCACAGTCTATCAGCGTTTACCCGACCCGGTTCCTCAATTTCGAGGTCCGATAATTACGGTTTTTGTTGGTATGTACTACTCTGCATCCTAGGAAATTCGTAATATACACTTGTCCACATATTGTAGGAAATATAAGCGAACGTGTGCCTGAAGCCTTAATTAAAAGAATTTTGTCCGCATGTGGGGTGGTGGTTAATTGGAAACGAGTGTCTACCTTTGGTTTCTGCGAATATGAGTAAGACCCAAATTTTGGTTAATAAACTAAAAATTGTTAATTGTCGCTTGTATATAAACAGTGGACCCAATGCTGGAATGCGGGCTGTTCGTCTTCTCAGTGAACTTGATATAGACGGGAAAAAACTTGTCGCTAAAGTGGATGCAAAAAATAAACTTCTGTTAGACAACTTTAAGGAAGAAGAATTAAAGAATGGTATTAATGTGTCAGCGGTGGATGAAAAGTCTGAAGATGACTTCGTTCTCAATCAAATGAGAAAAATACTTGGTGATCATAAGCACGAATTTGATGAGTTTGACGGAAATTCTCGAGATGTATATGGCGGCAGAATAAATAAGAACAAAGCTGTTCGCATAGAAGATAAAATAACAAAAGTTCTTCACGAAACAAATTTGGAAGAAGAAAAAAGGAACTTAATTAGTACCGAAATTGGGAAATTTAGGAAAAGAGCGGAGGCCGATGAAAATCGGAAGGAGAAAGAGAAGGAGAAAATGAGAGAAAAGGAGAAGGAAAAGGACAAAGAAAAAGAAAAAGACAAGGAGAAGGACAGGGAACTTGAGAAAGAAAGAGATAGGGATAGGGAAAGAAATGTATCTGATACAATGAAGGACGATATTAGTGAAGAAGATTGGGATGCAGATGAGCAAAGAGAAAACCCCTTTAACAAAGTGGAGAAAGTAGTGATTAGCAGGGGTCGCCAATCGAACAGTTTGTCACCTAATAGAAAAGAAAAAGATCGAGACAGCAGAAGGAGAAGGAGTAAATCTCGTTCAAGAGAAAGAGAGCGTGATCGAGAACATAGGGAACGAGAACGGGAACGAGAGAGGGAACGTGAAAAGGAACGTGAGAGAGAGCGTGAGCGTGAACGAGAACGAGAACGAGAACGAGAACGGGAAAGAGAACGTGAACGTGAAAAGGAGCGTGAACGGGAAAGAGAACGTGAGCGTGAGAGAGAAAGAGAACGCGAAAGGTAAGAATCAAGGCGAATTTATAAAAGGCGGTGTTAACAGAACAAAAACAAAAATTACAATAACAAATTATACGAACATGGACAATCAGTGCAAAAAAAAATTACGACAAACACATCATTTTGGCAAAAGGTACAAATTGCCCGTGAAATCAGCGGATCCTATAACAACACCTTGTATAGGTTCGCCTTGGTAAGAATACAACGTTTATTCCGGGCTATCGCAGATTCCATGATAAAAACATTACAAGGTAAAACCATTGAGAGGCAGTCTGACGTTTTCAAGCAATATAATTTTCAAATTCAAAACTCAAACTTACATTCTTATTTTTAATCTCAAACAACAATTGTGAAGAATTTAATTTTTCTATTTTAATTTGTATATGGTTTTAAAATGCTTGAAACGACAGAAAATAAATCATTTGACAACAGTAAATTTTTGACAACCGCAGAATAAAATATAAAATGAAGTGAAATGAGTGTTTTAAGTAAACATCTACCATCATTGATTGTAATTCATCAATTTAAGCTTTTGATCCATTTAATTTAATCAATTAAAGCGTTTGAAACATTAAAGCAATTTATTTACCAAAAATATTTAAAGTAGTGTAATACTTCTTAATTTTGCCACCAGAAACTCGATTTCCAAATATTTTATTGTTTTTGCTTACATTTGAAGCAGAAAAATTATACATATTGGCTGCATTTCTTTATTCATTCTGAACGTTTGGAATAAACTTTTTTGTTTATTTATTCTTTAGAACGTTCCTGATATGTTGACGTATATTTCAAACGCATTCTGTTTATTCCGGCTGTGAAATTGGATTATCCGGAATGTATAAAGAAACGCAGCCATTAACAGTCTGCGTTTGTCAAAATTTTATATGCATTTGTCAATTTAGACTCATGAGCTAGTGAAATTTTATTCACCTCATACTTGTCAAAAATTTACTCGCAGCGAACTTTGTTACCGATTCACACACGCTCTATGAATCAGAATTGATGCATTGACTGACGTATGCATTTAAAGAATATGCTACTTTTGTAGCTATACGGATTCCGTGATTGCATTTTCCTAGATTTCGCGAAAAATCGGACTACCATGGATCCAGTTACAGCCCTGATTACTGTAATATAACTTTGCGGTCATAACCAATTGGACTACAGACGTTTTTCACTTAATTGTAAATTTGTTATTTATGTTGTATTAGAGCGTGTCATTCGCTGTCAAATTGAGAAAGGTAAATTTTATTTCCCCGTGTGAACATGCAGAAAGTCCTTGTCACTTTGTAAATCAGTTTCAGAAATAAAAGTTGCAAGGTGTGATAAAACGCAAATCGATTTCGAAAATTATTTCAAATTGCTCTTGCTGCATTAGCAATTTTTAATTTTGTTGCAAGTACTGTCAAACGATTCTAGTATTGAAAGTTTGAATAAAATAATCTTTATAGCCCAATCCTGTATCGTTGACAAAAAATTTTTACTGACACTTCAACTTATTAGGTTTGCTCGTCGAAAATCCAGCAAGAATTATCCAACACTCAAAATATCAGAAAGTAAGAAAAAATTTCTTTCAAATTCTCTCTCATGTTGAGAAACTTGCAAATTTCTGCACGAACGCAAATTTGTGGGAATTTGAAAGTTTCCCTGCCAGCTGGTGTCCACGGTTGCATTTCAAACATAATAAATTTTTATAGAATTTTTAAAATTCTTTAAGATGGACAAAAACGGGATATACACGTATAGTTCTTGTTGCTCTGACCACAGTATGCAGTAATCCAGATAGCCAAAACAAAAAATGTAAATATGCTTATTTGACATTTTGTTTGAATGTATTGGTTGATATTTTTTCACAGGCGTCGTTTTCGTTAACCCAAATGAAATCCAATTTAAATATTTTCTTATAGTGAAAAATATTTTCAAGTCACATAAAATAAAATAACGAGAAAAACAAAATTCCAAGCAAATCAAGCCTGAAGCGTAAGCGATTATGACCTGATGCAGTTCCTACATAAGTCAAACCGTGTTCCGAACACAACTTTGAGTGAATAATTGTGGGCTGACTTTGTAAAATTGTCCCATCGATTAGGCGGTAAAACAAGTATTAGTTAGAGAACTCTCTAATTTTCAAATGCACGAAATTTGTATGTATTTGTTTAGCCGCTTATTCACATTTGAAAGAGGATAATGCTTGAATTAATGAAAGTAAAGACGGTTTATGCAGATAAGAAAGCGCGTTTACATATATCAAAATATTCAGAATGACGAGATGAATTGGTTCAGCCCTCTCTGTTTGTAAACACGCTAACTCGAACAAAATTTAGATATTTTAACGAAAGTCGGTGTCGAAGTTGCATTTGGTATAATTTAGGTTAGTGTTAAATTTTGGCGAAATCTGCCAATAACCACGCTCACCTCCACATAGTAATTAAAAATATTTTGGTTTTATTATTATTTTTTTTTTCGAATTTCGCTGTTCAAATTTACATTTCAAATATATCAACAAATATTTGTGGGTACTTTTGCATCAGTCGTTGCCTATGGGTTAATGACAAAAAAATCTTATACATTCACAATGTATTCATGTATTAATTTTCAAATAAGCATATTGTCAATGGTTGGTTTACTGTATACTGTGGTTCTGGCTTTCTTTAACATACATTTCAATTCCTTTATCGTACTAGCTGTCGGGTTTCTTAACACTAGAGTGCACGCGCTCTTTTTTTACACCAATGCACGCGTGGCCTATAGTAGACCATTTTAAAATATTAAATGGTTTTTTAGATAACATTTAAATGAAATTTATAGTTAAATGGCCATATTCATAAAAAATAAAGTAGCTTTATAAAAGGTTTATAAATTAAAAAATGTATGAAAACCTCAATTTATAAAGCTCTTTAAACCTACTTCATTTTTTATGAATAAGGCCAAAAAAATATAGTGGTTGTTCACACTTGCCTGGTTATTAGCCCTGCAAACCATTTTTTCAGAGTATTCTGCATTGTAAAGAAATTTTAAAGAATTCGTTAAGATTTAATTCGATTTTTTGTCGAATTTTCTAAAATTAAATAAATTACGCACACTTCCATTATTTTACGAAATTTCGGAAGAAAATCTGTGAAGCAACGAAAATAATGCTGCTATGTGAAGAATATCTTTCAGCATTTTTCCAGAATTTTCTTTATTTTTCGTACAGAAATTTCTTTACGAGTTCGTGTCAACCCCTTCATATAATTTTCTTTGAAAATTCGTAAAAAAATCGTTACAGAAATCAGATACTCCTAACGATTTCCTTAAGATTTCGGGAACTTTGGTTTGCAAGGAGGTTATCTGGTTAAAAATAATTTTTCTGTAGTGTATTTTGTTGTACAATAACAAAAGTGCATACGCGTGGAAGTCAAGCGCGGTATTCACTCGTCGACAAATTTAATGCAGAAGGCTTTCCTGGAACCGCGTCGCTATAACATACAAAACTGTCAAGGTATCAACAAAAATGTTACGGTGGTCTACTATAGTAGGCCGCGCGTGTACTCTAGTGTTAAATCGACTCTCGTTGCAATTGCATTCCTATTGCGAATACAAATTTTTTCACCCGAGTTAAGTTCAAATCATTGGCGCGTATTCATAGTCCAGCAACTAAGTCGAAACTAACAAAGTTGCAACTTAAATTTAAGTACCAACTTAAAATCTACCTCTATTCATAGTCGCATTTCAAACTTCTACTAAGTAGGTTCGACTTAGTTTACGATATAGCAAAACGAGTGTGAAAATGTATCGATTTTTCTTTACGATATTTTGGAAAAATTACATTTTTATTAAATAATGTAAACTTTGATCATCCGTTTATGTAATTTTTATTTTCATTGCATGATTATGCAAAAGAATAAGGTATCATTTTCTTGTTAATTGTGTGAAATAGCCAGAACAACCGCAGTGATGTGAAGTCGATGTTTATCGAAAGCATGCTGTGAAACATGCAAATAGTAGATATCTAAATGTTATGCACAAATTTACTTTAAAAGAATTAGCGTGAAACTGACTTATTATTTGAGAATTTATCTAAATTATTCCAATTATGATGTAGCTTTATTCGAATTGTAATACGCATTAAATTTCATCTTCCGATTAAAATGGATCGATCTTTGTAAATTTTAATGGGAGATTATTCAATATTATCAAAGTCACCCTCTACCAACTTAATTTTTACATATTTCGTCTGTTTTCCCTTAATTTGATAAAATACTTCTTCTTCCTAGTTACGACTTAGTTGCAGCTGCAGCCGAAACTAAATTTTAAGTTGATACTTAGCCAGAAAAGTCGAAACTAAGGCGACTATGAATAGCTTTAGTAGTGACTTAGAATAGTTTCGACTTAGTTGAGTACTAAATATGACTATGAATATGCGCCATTGGAATTAACTAAATTAATTATATCAACAAGTATTTACTTCCTTTCTTCATAAAAAAAACGCTCGTGTTTATAAGCTTTTAAATTTAACGAACTTATTTATTCAATTTGCAAATTCTCTCAGGAGAATTTTCACTTTGCGCTCTCAGTTTTGGAGTGATGGATAATTTTTTGGTCTGCACGAACGCGATTTGGGCAAAAATCATGATAATTCGTACAAATTTGTACAAATTTTTTGCTCGACGAACAAACCTATTATTTCGCTATGGCCACTGCTACAGAAGAGAGCCGTTGCCAACCAGGAACTGCTTGCAGAGCATTATGTTATGCTCCTTAACAGGGAGCATGTGGGCCTCCTCGTGCGGGTGGTGATGCGGCGACATCAAGAGGCATCCTGTCGCTGTCCTAAGTGCCATGTTCTGGCTAGTCTACAGAGTATTCTCTGACTGTTTGTGTGATGACAGAAGATACTTCGTTTTGTCCTCGTTCACCACGAGACCCATTCGCTTTGCTTCTCTATCTAGTCCCGAGAAGGCAGAACAGATGTAGTTTTTGTTTTTACTGATAAGGTCGAGAGCGATTCAGTTCTGTGGCTCTTATTATCTTCTCCAACTTCAGGTTAAAGAAATC